GAGGAAAAAAAAAGTACAGCTGCATCCTAAACAAAGCCACTTTTGGTGGAAGAAACGGAAGACTGAGGGGATGAGGTGGTAGCTCTAGGTGTAAAAATCCACATTTCAGCCTTGCAGGTAAATGAGGCAGGTGGTAAGGACACCCAGGGGGGCATCCAACATGTTTCCTGCACTAGTCCAAGTGGGGGCGGGTGGAGCTGGATGCTGCAGCCTTCTCACACTCTGCCCTCACAGCCTGCACCCCCAGACAGGCTGTCCAAACAGTGGAACTGGGGAAAGAGGGCCCTGGGGCTTTTAGAAGTGTTATGGGGTCAGCACATATCGCAGGAGCCCTGGCACATAGGGTCTTCCTGCTCCGACGGACCCATTGGCAGAAAGCCGGTGTCCCGTAATTGCGAGCGAAGAGCCGAGGGCAGCTGGAGCCCAGCAAAGCAGCTCGGCTGGGAGAAGCTGTGCCAGGGCAGGGATGGTGCCTTTTCTCCCTACAAAACCACAGCTAATTTACAGCTGCTCCGCAGCCCAATTTTCTAAACCGTTCAGAGACATGCGTGGAAAAATGCCCCAATGAGGGGGAAAGGCCTTAATTAACTTTGTGGTATTTGCCTAAGTGCCATCTTTCTGGTTTACTTTTCCCCCACTCCAGCTGAAAGCTTGCAGAAGCCACTGTGAGTTAGGCCAGAACAAGTCGGAAATTAGCATTAAAAATACGGAAAATGGAGGGATCAAAGGAGCCGGCTGACAAGCACGTCCTGACAATCCTGCCGAAGCATCCCTGGCTGCACAGTGAACAACTGAGAAGAAGGCAGAGGTGATGGGCAAGCCAGAAGAGAAAATCAGCTGTGAAAGGCAAAAAAATAGCCATAAAAAGAAGATTTTAGGAGATAACCTCACAAAAAAGAATAAATGGCTTGATCCACAGTCCTTTTTGTATCTTAACGAGTTGTACAGAAACAGCGAGGTTTGATAGGCTTAGGATGTTGTCTTTGATAGCACTTCAAGTGTCTAAGCACAACAAAATCTCCTTTAAGAAATTCCTCCATGTAATTTGCCCTTTTTACAAGCGGGATGGCTGACCATCAGATCTCTGTGGCTCACATGCTGCTGTGGAGGATCTGGGCACGCATCCTGCCAGCCCAGCAGTGCTCAGGGCCGCTATACTCATTCCTCACTTTCATGCTAACTTGGTTAAATGCTGTATTCTGTATCACCACCTCCACTAACAAGCTCTGACTGACATCTGTTCCCAGAGACAGAGGCCAAATTTGTGATAAATGCTCAATAACTTTTGTTCTGGAATAAGTTATAAAAGCAACTTATTCCTTTGGGTATAAAAGAAAGCAAAGAATGAAGGGAAAGTTCCTTTCCTGAACGTTATGCTAACATAAATAATTAGCAATCCATTTTTAAAGTACCTCGGAGCTCAGGATTTCTGTGTACTGGTTCAGCAAGACGCGCTGCCATACAATGCTGCACTTTTCAGAGCTGCCTGATAACAAATCTCCTTGCTGAAGCCCTGACCAAAAAAAACGCCTCCAAACTCCTTCAAGCTTAGCCCCAGATCTCTAAATCCTGAGGACTGCAGCAGGGAAAAGCTAACCCTGCTCCTCAGGATCATCCCCACCTTGTCCTCCTCCTACCTTAGTGCCCTTTTAGTGGATTTATTTCATCACTTCCAGATGATCTCTTGGGGAGCAGGTGACAGAGGTGCTTTGCATCTTCCCCAGGGAAAGAAGAGGAGGAGGAATAGAAACACAGGAGAGCTCCCGAGTGAGACCCAGGAATAGACAAACAAAAATGCAGGGTTTTCTATACACATCTCCGCTTATAGGAGCAACCACACCTTGGGTCCAGCCTCAGCAAAGAGCAGGTGGTGAGGCCACGCTCAACACACACGTATCTGCAGGTGATGGAGCGCGTTTTCCACCCGGTCTCCTGGCATCACTGTCTATAAATCACAACAGAGGTGGCATGAGACGTGCAGGAGAGAACTGGCACTGGCTGCAAGTCCAGCAGCTTCAGCGTGTCTGCTTGCAAGCAGATAACATACAGCAAAAAGCAGCAAGATTAATAACTGAGAGCGATTAACACTTCCAACGGGATCCCGCCACTGGACAACACTGGTGCCAGGGCAGGTTCTGCTAGAGGACGAATGGCTGCCATAAATTGTAGGTATTTTTTATATAACCTTGCTATCTATTATAAATTCTAGTCCTAGAAAGTAAGTGGAAACAGCAATTTTTTCAGAGACCTCATTATCCCAAGCACCTGCTTCTAAGAACCGAATCAGTCTATTCAGAGGGATTAGGAAGAAGACTAAATACCCACCAGACAGTATCCCTCAAAAAAGGAGAAAATGAGCCAGAAGTACAGCAGCTGTCTTACAAAAAGAAAAAGCAACCATCACCTCTTACCCACAGATTCAACCCCACCTAAGGCAGACAGCTCAGCAGCATCCACCCCAAAATCTCTGACAGAAACAGGAGCACAGAAAACTCCAATAAATCACCCCCATTCACA